CAAAACTAAATATTATAATTTATGTATACCAACTAAAATGATTATTCATTATAAAATTCAGTACTTAACATACTTATTCTCTACCTTCAAACTAAAAAAACTAATCATACTTTTCAAAATAATAGATTCTACTTACAAACTAAAATAATACATATCACACTTTGAACATATTATATAAGACACAATCCAAAATTTTAGCTTACAACATATAAAACGAATGTTCCCGCACAAAGTACGGATCAAAATCTAGTAAATAAATTATAGAGTCAACATGTAGGATTTCGCACTTTGTTAATAAAAGAATGATAATTGGTTGACCCGAAAGAAAACAAAGATAATACAATTGATGGCGAATTGGATTAAAATATTTCCTTAATGATTTTTATTATTAGAAACAAATTCCTTAATTAATGATTTTTCCTTAATTGACAAAGACGGATAACAAAAAAAATCATTGGGCTGAAATTAGGCCCATTAAAACCCTCGACGAGCCATACGCGAGGCGTACACCGCACAACGGCCACGTCCTCCATTTATACCAAAATCAATCACAAAGCAAAGACCTAAAAAAACTTGCCCACTAAGAAAAATCAAAATCGAACCAATCTACATATCGTAAAACCTTCCCGGCGACGAGAAAGAAACAATGGCTCTGGAATGGGTAGTGGTAGGCTACGCAGCGGTGGCTGAAGCGATCATGGTTATCCTATTGACGATGCCTGGACTCGAAGCTCTCCGCAGAGGATTGATCGCCGTAACTCGTAATCTCTTGAAACCGTTTCTCTCGATTTTCCCCTTTTGTCTCTTCCTTCTATTGGATATCTATTGGAAGTACGAGACTCGACCTTCCTGCGACGGCGATTCGTGTAGTCCTTCCGAGTATCTCCGTCACCAGAAATCGATCATGAAATCTCAGCGTAACGCGCTTCTAATCGCGTCTGCTCTTGTTTTCTACTGGATTTGGTACTCCGTCCATAAACTCGTCGTCAAGATCGAGCAGCTTAACCAGCGGATCGAGAGGCTCAAGAGGAACAGGGATTAAGCCAAGCCTCCTTCTTCTTCTTCAGGTCCTTTTAGTGTTTTCTAATTTGAATTCGATGTGAAAGAGTCCCTTTAGGTTTTTGGTGTTTGTTTTTCTGATATTGAAAGGATCTATATTTTCTTATACCTTTTTAGATTTGATTTAACTCATAATTCTTCTCACTTGGTATGAAACTTTCACACTTGGAACCTTTGTTTGAATGTGTTCGAATATCCAATGAATAATCAACGCATGGACTTCAATTTTAGTTCTTTAATAGGTAATGCAGCTAATTAAACTAGCTGATCCATGGATCAAAAGATCCCAATTTAAAAGAGTGTTTGGTTCTCCATGGATCTGTACCCAATTTCTATGTTACACAGCCAAAGAGTGTTTGGATCTTTCCCTTCTTCTCCTCCTCCATAAACTCGGTACTTGCAGAGGCTAAAATCACAAGTTGCATTTGTTCAAATTTCAAAGAGTGTTCTTTTGTGATTGTGGACACAAAGCTGAAACATTTTTAATTATGTGGAAGACAGTTTCTGTTTACCCCATATAAAAACTCGGACTAAACAGTTCTGTTCTAATGAAAAAGTAAGATTACAAAAAAAAAAAAAAATCATCTTCTTTTTGGTTCTTCCAAAGAATGAGAAAGAAATACCACAAAGAATCATCCCTTTGTGAGACAACTCGCTAGTGAAGAAACATAGCTCCCATGAGCATTGTTGCAGGAAGCAAACACTTTGTGTCCTGATGTCGCCGAAACCATATTCACATGGTCCATCACTATATTCGCACACCCCAAATCCGCGTCGCAGTTCAATGTGATGGCTTGATCGCTCGCAGATGACCCGTGGATTCTGGTGTAACGCACATCGCTCACTTTCACGCCTTTGCCATTAACTGACTTACTCCGTGCTTCTCCTAACGAGCTGGTTAAATGAGAGCTTTGATAGCTGTTTAATCTTCCGTTCTTGCTCCCATGATTGTTGTATTTCTGGTCGATGATAACAGGGTTCTCTGAAGCGACCATGTTGATATCCTCGAATGAGATTTTCCGAGCATATCCTGATCCGTTCTACGAAACAAAACCCGAGCTAATCAGGAAATCTGCTGAAAAAGATCATTGCTCAATGATGAACGTATGAAAGATGAATGGACAGCCTGGAATGTCTTGATCCGGACACCGTTCTGTGTGTTTGTGAAAGTGCAGTTCTTCACTCTCACTTCTTCAACGGTTGCAAATTCACCATTTTCTCCAAGACTTCCTACACTGTAATGTTCAATCCATATTCCATATTAGTTTGGTGTAATGTTCAATCATATTCCATATTAGTTTGGTGCATATTATATGATGATTGTTTGTGAATCTAGCAATCACCTAATACAGTCGCGTATATCGACTCCTATAGCATTCGATATGTCAATATATACCATCCGTATTGGGACTGTCACCAGGTGCAATCAGTCTCAGACCCCATACATGGATGTTCTTTGAACAGCTTAGACTTATGTGGTTTCGAGGGCTGTTCAAGTGTCGAAGATTGTACATCCCAAGACCATTACAGTTGTTGAAAAACATTCACTACAAGAAAACAGGCAAATTTCCGACGGAAAATTCCGACGGCCAAGATTTCCGTCGGAATTTTCCGACGGCTTACCGACGCATTTGCGACTAACATTTAATCTGTCAGAAATCCGTCGCAAAATTCCGACGGAATACCGACGGTTTTATCTACCGTCGGTATTCCGTCGGAAATCCGTCGGTACAAACGACGGATTTCCGACGGAAAATAATCTGTCGTAATATTCTGACGACTTTCCGACGGACTCCCGACGGAAATCCGATTTTTTCGATGTCGGTAAATTTGAGTGGTTAC